GTGCTATAACAGAAAAGAGAGGTCGCGGCGAAGGGTGGGAGGGGGGGGTTTCGGGGGATCTGAGCCCCACACATCTTAGAGCGGCTGAGGTTGAAAAATATTGTTCTAGAGGATGGGGGGATCACTTTTTTCCCCCTAGCAGAAATTCTGGCTCTGTGCTGCTGCAATCTTTTCACAGCTGCCTTTCTCCCCACCCCTCGCCCTTCTGATGCATTGGGACTACCCCTTCCATAACTCCCAGCCTAAGATTGCTGAACAGAAGCTTCGAGCTTGCAAGTCCCATGCGTGTCAGTCCGATTAGATTTTCTCCCGAGTTAAACCTGATTCTAAAACTGGGTGCAGCCACTCATGCCAGTCACCTTCGGCAATTGGTCGCCTGCAGTCCCCAGACCTGTTGGACTGCAACCCCCATAATCCCCAGCCAGCGCTGGCTAGGAGGGATGGGAGCAGGCGCGGCCGGGAATCCAGGGGCGGGCTTTGCATGGAAGAGCAGAGTCAAAGGAGGGGTTCGCATACCAGGACGGGGGCCGTAATGTGGTTTGGGGTGAATGTGTTTGGTAAGCTACGGTTTGGGGTTTTGCATGCAGTGTGAAGTCAGCCAGTGGTGGCTTAGAGAACAAGCTGCGGTTTGCTTCCTGGTGAGCGAAATCCACCCATCCGAAGAAGCGACTCAACCCTGCCTGTTGCATAGGAACGGTGGGAAAATGGGCCGGTGCTTCTAAATTCTAGGATGGCCAGACGTCCGGCAAAAGGAGGACACGACCTCCTGTTGGTCCTCATGTCCTCTGTCCCCCAGGCGTAGCCTTAAAACCAAATCCAGTCTGGCTTTTTAAGTGTGACCAAGTAAGTTCATACACAGGTAGACCGAAGTCCTTTTTGTTTGCACTTTTTTGCTGACGTTTGTGTCGTGGACGCCAAGAAAGTTAAACAGTTTGTGGGTCCTCCTTTCCCCTGTTTGTCCTCCTTTCCGATTGTCGGTGTCCTCCTTTCCTGGTAAGCCGAAGTCTGAACGGAAAGTCATGGCGGGGTTGCTCTCTCTGCACCTGAACCAAGGAGGGCACGGAATTGTGGCGAGCACAGCCCAATCGGCCGTGCCAACGCCCTTCAGAAATTGGGTGCTGCGGCCTTTGGAGACGTTTATCCGGCCGCTGCTTCAGGGTTCGCAGTCCTGGAGCGAAGGCAGCTGCTTCGAGGTGTTAGGTTCTCTGAAGCGCTTTGGGGAAATTTCATCCTCAGCACTGCACCCCTTACGAATAAGGGGCGCCCCTCACCTTCCTTAAGACCTTTAGTTCAGCACATCTTGACGGACAAGCTTTTCTTCGTTAACAGCAGAGTGACCTCCAGATTTCCTGCAGGATCATTCTGCGGGAGCGAATGTCTTTCCTATAGCGTGCATCCTTTTTACAAACGGCTCTCAGCCTGTCTCTAGAATAC